GAGCTAGATCTAATTACCAACCTTTAATGATAAAAAAAATATATATCTAGAAATGTGCAGAAATAAGATCAGCAAGAAAAAGGCAGTCAGATGCTTACATATTATTCTTGCAGGATGAGCGATGGCAAAAGGAGGGAGGTAGATGGGGAGAGGGGATTTGGGGATGGAGGAGGTTGGAGATTGGACACTGTCCCCCCCCCTCCCCTTATAGTAAATAATGCAGTGTCGGACCAGGCAGTGAAAGTGTAAAGCAGTATGTACGACGCAACTTTGCCTGGGCGACAGACATAGAGTTAGAGGAAGTAGATTGCCCAAGTACCATTTCCACCTTTTAAAACTCTTGACTTTTTTGCTCATAAATCATAAAACTGTTGCCTGCTTAATACTTGGTGATCTGGAGAGGAGGCCGTTATAAATTCTTGGAGAACATTTTTATCATGAGTTACAAAGTTCTCTCCGCTCCCCCCCTCCCCTTTCCTCTTAAAAAACGGGCTTTCAAATTTCAAGCTACTACTTTATCCCCCCCCCCAAAAAACCCCCCCAACAACAACAACACTCAAAGAAACCACAAAACAAACAAACAAAACAAACACACAAACAAACAAACAAACAAATAAACAAACAAACAAACAAACAAACAAACAAAAACAAAAACAAAACAAACAAACAACAGAAAACATCCCCCCCCCACAAAAAAAACCCAACAAAACAAACAGCAGCAAACAAACAAACACAAAAAGTCAATAAAAAACACAACGAATCAACAACCTACATGATATACTAACCTAGAAAATAGGCCCTCCCCAGAACAACTAAGACTTAAGACTTATAAGTAAATATTTACAACTAGACATTATCATATCATTCATCACGATTTGAATGCCTATTGAAATAATGAAACAATACCCGTTGTAACACTGCGTGAGGTAAGGAAAAGAGTGGTCGAGAATTGCCCAGCTTTTAATTTTATAAGCCAGTCGGATGCTTTGACCACCTGAAAAAAACAAGGTAGTTGTATCAATAGAAAACAGATTAGCGACTGATTCACTCGACACGTGTTTGCTTAAAAAGCGTTCTGTATAGGTGTACGTGACAATGTAGAGTGAAGATTTCGTTGTCCTCTTGCCTGCCATAATAGAGCTATCTATCTATCTATCTATCTATCTATCTATCTATCTATCTATCTATCTATCTATCTATCTATCTATCTATCTGT